TTAATCCATTTGGAGTTTAGTTTTGTGTATGGTGTTAGGGAGTGTTCTAATTTAAGTCTTTTACATGTAGCTGTCCAGTTTGCCCAGCACCACTTATTGAAGAGACTGTCTTTTCTCCATTGTATATCCTTGCCTCCTTTGTCATAGATTAGTTGACCATAGGTGCATGGGTTTATCTCTGGGCTGTCTGTCCTGTTCCATTGATCTATATTTCTGTTTTTGTGCCAGTATCATACTGTCTTGATTACTGTAGCCCTGTAGTACAGTCTGAAGTCAGGGTGCCTGATTCCTCCAGCCCCATTTTTTTTTTTTTTTTCTCAAGATTGCTTAGGCTATTCAGGGTCTCATTTGTCTTCATACAGATTTTAAGATTTTTTTGTTCTAGTTCTGTGAAAAATGTCATTGGTAATTTGATAGGGATTGCACTGAATCTGTAGATTTCTTTGGGTAGTATAGTCATTTTCACAATATTGATTCTTCCAACCCAAAAACATGGTATATCTCTCCATCTGTTTGTGTCATCTTTGATTTATTTCATCAGTTTCTTATAGTTTTCTGAGTACAGGTCTTTTATCTCCTTAAGTAGGTTTATTCCTAGTTATTTTATTCTTTTTGTTGCAATGGTGAATGGGATTATTTCCTTAATTTCTCTTTCTTACCTTTTGTTGTTAGTGTATAGTAATGCAAGAGTTTTCTGTGCATTAATTTTGTATCCTGCAACTTTACCAAATTCATTGATTAGCTCTAGTAGTTTTCTGGTGGCATCTTTAGGTTTTTCTATGTAGAGTATCATGTCATCTGTAAACATGATGGTTTTACTTCTTTTCCAATTTGTATTCTTTTATTTCTTTTTCTTCTCTGATTGCCATGGCTAGGACTTCCAATACTATGTTGAATAATAGTGGTGAGAGCAGACATCCTTGTCTTGTTCCTGATCTTAGAGGAAATGCTTTCAGTTTTTCACCATTGAGAATGATGTTTGCTGTGGGTTTGTCATATATGGCCTTTATTATGTTGAGGTAGGTTCCCTCTATGCCCACTTTCTGGAGAGTTTTTATTATAAATGGGTGTTGAATTTTGTCAAAAGCTTTTTCTGCATTTATTGAGACAATCATATGGTTTTTATTCTTCAGTTTGTTAATATGGTGTATCACATTGATTGATTTGTGTATATTGAAGATTCCTTGCATCCCTGGGGTAAATCCCACTTGATCATGGTGTATGATCCTTTTAATATGTTGTTGGATTCTGTTTGCTAGTATTTTGTTGAGGATTTTTGCATATATATTCATCAGTGATATTGGTCTGTAATTTTATTTTTTTGTGATATCTTTGTCTGGTTTTCGCATCCAGGTGATGGTGGCCTCATAGTATGAGTCTGGGAGTGTTCCTTCCTCTGCAATTTTTTGGAATAGTTTGAGAAGGATGGTGTTAGATCTTCTCTAAATGTTTGATAGAATTCACCTGTGAAGCCATCTGGTCTTGGACTTTTGTTTGTTGGGAGGGTAGGTAACCTTTTGAAACAAACTTTTTTCACTTAACATAATGCTTTTGAGATTCATCCAACTTCTTATAAATGTCAGTAGTTTGTACCTATTTATTGGTAAGTAGTATTCCATTGTATGGATGTACCATTCATTTACTTCTTGAAGAACATTTGGGTTGCTTACAATTTTGGGCAATTATGAATAGAGCTTTTATAAACATTTTTTTGTGTGTGAATATAAATTTTCATTTCTCTAGTGTAGATACTCTGGGGTAGGAATGCTGAGACATACAGTATATGTATGTTTGCCTTTATAAGTAAAAACTGTTTCCAAAGTGTCTATACCATTTTGCATTTCCATCAGCAGTGTATAAGAATTCCTTCCAGTTACTCTTCATCCTTGGTATTCTCAGGATTTTTAATTTTAGCTATTCTTATGATAGTTTTATCTAATCATGATTTTAATTTGCATTTTCCTAATGGCTAATGATATTGAATATCTTTTCATATGTTTATTTGACATCCTATATCCTCCTAGAAGTGTGTATTTTTAAATATTTTCCCATTTTTTAAATGTTTTTTCTTATTGTTGAGTTTTGAGAATTCTTTATTATCCATACTAGTTGGATATGGGATTTGTAATTACTATCTCCCAGTTTGTAACCTGTCTTTGTATTCTCTAAATAGTATCTTTCTTTTTTTTTTTAAATAGTACCTTTCATAGAGCAAAAGTTTTTAATTTTGATGCAGTACAGTTTATCATTTTTTTATGGAGTATGCTTTTTGTGTCTTGTCTAAGAACTCGTTATGCAACCCAAGGTCATAGGTTTTCTTCTAAAAGTTTTATAGTTTTATATTTTGCATTTAGATCTACAATTCATTTTGTGTTAACATATGTGTAAGGTTAAAATTTACTTTTTTGCCTATGGATTTCTCCTTGCTCCAGCACCATTTGTTGAAAAGACTATCCTTTCTCCATTAAATTGCTTTTGCACCTTTGTCAAAACTCAATTGGCAGTATTTGTGTGGGTGTGTTTCTAGATTCTCTATTCTGTTCCATTGATCTATTTGTTTACCCCTTTGCTAATACCATCCAGTCTTGATTACTATAACTTTATAGTAAAGTCTTAAAATTGGATAGTTCGAGTTTTCCAATTTTATTCTTCTTTTGCATAATTGCTTTAGCTATTCTAGTTCCTTTGCCTCTCCATATAGAATTTAGAATCAGCTTGTCTATATCTATAGGAAATCTTGCTAAGATTTTAATGGTATTATGTGGAATCTGTAGATCAATATGGGGATAATCAACATTTTTACTGTATTGAAACTTCCAAGCCATGAACATAGTATGTCTCTTTAGTTATTTAGATCTTTGATTTCTTTCTTCAGAGTTTTGTAGGTTTTACATGCAGATACTATACATGCTTTGTTACATTTGTACCTAAGTGTTTTATTTTTTGAAACTATTGTAAATGTTACTGACTTTTAAATTTCTGTTTTAGTTGGACATTGCTAGTCATGTTAGTTTACTATGGCTGCCATAACAAATTACTACAAACTTGGTGGCTTAAAAAAACAGAAATTTACTCTTTTACAGTTCTGGAGGTCAGAAGTCTACAATCAGTTTTGAGCAGAAATCAAAGTGTGGCAGATCTGTGTTCCCTTCACACACAGCAGGGAATCTGTTCTTTGCCTCTTCCAACTTCTGGTGGCTGCCAGCATTCCTTGGCTTGTAGCTACATCACTTCAATCTCTACCTCTTCTTCATATTGCCTTTCCTCTGTGTTGAATCCCCTCTGCCTCTCTTATAAAGACACATGTGATGGCATTGAGTGGCCACCTGGATAGTCCATGATAATCTCTCATCTCAAAATCCTTAATTTAATTAATAATATCTGCAAAAAACTTTACCATGTAAGGTAACATTCACAGATTGCAGAAATTAGGACCTAATATTTTTGAGGACATTTTTTAGCCTACTACATTAGTGTCTAGAAATCAAGATTGTGTGTGTGTGTGTGTGTGTGTGTGTGTGTGTGTGTGTGAGAGAGAGAGAGAGAGAGAGAGAGAGAGAGAAAGAAAAAGACAGAGAGACAGAGACAAAGAGAGAGAGAAAGAGATTTTATGTGTTGACCTTTTATCCTGCAGCCTTAGTACTAAACTCACATATTAATTCTAGGAGTTTTTTGGTTGATTCTTTGGTATTTTGTACATAAATAATAGAGACACTTTTATTTCTTTCTTCCCAATTTGTATGAATTTTATTTCTTTTTCTTGCCTTATTTCATTGACTAGGATTTCCAGTACAATGTGAATAGGAATGGTGAAAGTGAACATCCTTGCCTTATTCCTATTCTTAGGGGGAAAGCATTCAGTTATTCACCGTTAAGTATGATGTTAGCTTCTATTCCTTCTTTGTAGAGAAGTTTTACAATTTTTTTTTATCATGAATGGATGTTGAATTTTGTCATATGATTTTTCTGCATCAATTGATATAATCATTTTTTCCCTTCTTTAGATTATTAATATGATGGATTACATTCATTGATTTCCAAATATTGAACCAGCTTTGCATTACTGGGACAAACCCCACTTTATCATAGTATAATTTTTTATACATTCCTGGTTTTGATTTGGAATATTTTATTAAGGATTTTAATGTCTATGTTCATTAAAGATATTGCTCTGTAGCTGTATTTTCTTATACTGTCTGTCTGGTTTTTGTATCAGGGTAATTCTGGCCTCATAAAATAAATTGGGATGTGATCCCTCCTCTTTTTTCTAGAAGAGATTGTGGAGATTTGGTGTTATTTCTTCTTTATACATTTCATGGAATTTGCCAGTGAAACCATTTGTGCCTGATATTCTTTTTCAGAAGATTTTAAACTACATATTTAATTTTTTTTCATATTTTTAAGACTACTCAGGTTATCTCTGTTTCAATTTCATTGATTTCTCATCTCTGTTATTTCCTTCCTTTTGCTCATTTTGGGCTTATTTTGCTTTTCTTTTTTTTTTTTTTTTCCTAGTTTCGTAAGTTGGAAGCTCATATTATTACAGACTTTTCTTCTTTTCTAATATAAACATTTAATGGTATACATTTTCTTTTAAACACTGTTTTAACTACACTGAAGAAAATGTGATGTGTTTTAATCTTAATTCAAAATGTTTTCTAGTATCCCTTGAGACTTACTCTTTTGATCCACTGATTATTTATAAGAGTGTTGATTAATTTCCAAGTGTTCTGAAATTTTCCCATTATTTTTTTATATTGATTTCTAGCTTAATTCCATTAGGACCTGAAACATATTTTGCATAATTTTGATTCTTTAAGTTTGTTAAGGTTTATTTTATGATCCATGATATGTTCTATGTTGGTGAATGTTTGGTTGTTTGAATATTGTGTTTTCTCTGAAGGGAGCCATATCTCTAAACTGAGCCCATTTGTTTGCTTATTCACTCAAGAGTCTTTCTGGAAGGTTGTCACTCACAGCCCATTGTTTCTTTTGTCTAGAATATCCAGGATGTGAGAAGTGATGATGAGGATGAGTATGAAGAGGAAGAGGTTGAGGAAGAGAAGGAGGAGAAGGAAGAAGCCACTGAAGGCAAAGAGACAGACGGTTTGAAGAATGGGCTTGGGGCCAACAGGCACCTCATTCCCAATGGTCAGCATGGCTGTTAGCTTGAAGCCCGCATAGCTCCTGGTGCACAGTGCGCTGCAAGGGCTGCTGGGAGCCGGAAGTGCTCCCTCCTCCATTGCTGTAGCCTCAGGACCCACAGGGACCACAGATTTTGCCCTTCCCTCTTTCTAACCAGCACCTTCCCCCCCACCAAGACGTATTTAACAAAATGTTAATTTGTGTTAAAATGTTTAATATAAGCATCTCCATGGATTTTACTGGAGTTAGGACTCAGATTTCAAAGATTTCTCCTGAGAACCCTTCCACTTCTAATTGTTCCATTCATGAATTTAGACGTTTGGAGCCCACTTTGTTGTAGGCCTTCCCCTTCCCACCTTGCCTGTCCTCAGGATACTTTGGGAAGTGCTAAGTCAACCCACTTTTTCCAGGTGCGTTTAGCCACAGAGAGCAGCTCATTTCCCAAAAATGAGCTAGAAGTGGCAATGGAATGGTGGTGGCAGGACCAAACCAGGGGGCCAAGCTTCCAGGGCTCACGGATCCCTTTCTGCCATGGGCAGTGTTTAAACCTTCCATGCCGTGTGCTTCGTCTCTCCGATGGGAATAACCAGACCTGCCCTGCCCCCTCACAGGGTTGGAATAAGGATCAAATGAGATAATAATGGAAGTGAGAGTGCATACTGTAGGCTATGGTGTTGCTGTTACCTGACCCTCTTTTCACTGTGATCACAGTCCCGTTTGGGAGAGAAGCCTGGTGAAACTTGGCACTGAACAGGCCTGAACAAAAGGCACAGTCTTGAAGAATTCCTTTTAAATGTGTCTGGAAATACCTAAACATGCAAGTACCCAGAAAGCTGTTTCCAGTTTATCTGGTAACTATTTATTTGTTAGCTTCCCAAAGGTAATTCTCAAATCCCCCAGGTTCTCATCCCTCAGGTTCCATGGCCAAGGGGAGGGAGTTTGGGCCCCATTCCTTCTTGTCCTTTGCTGATTTCTCACTTATTTCCTCTCTGAAAGGGACGCTTCCCTGCTGTGGCCCTGAACCCCTCCTTCAGGCCAGCAGAGCTACCCAGCAGGCCATAGGGTCTACCTGGGGGCCTCTCTGGGGGCACTGGACCCAAGTCAGGTTGTTCCCCTAGCCACTATCACCCAGGAAGCCCAGTTTCTGGGGCATGTGTTTGAGCTCCTGATCAAAGGAGGTCTTGGAAAAACAAAGAGACTCTGTACTTTAAATCCCTGCTCTCCAACCCAATCAGAGTGCACAACAGTAAAGCAGAACAAAACAAAGGGCTGGAAAACACCCCTGAGAATGTCCAAGGACAGGTGCTTGAGTCAGTGTCAGCCCCTGGGGCTGCCTTACCTCTCTGGGAGGACAGGTAGGGGCTGGAGGGTCAGTAGCCACCTCTCGACCCCCACAGGGATACATCTCGAGGCCAGCGTGCAGGGCAGACCTCAGAGACTTTCTCAGGTTACTGACTGAGGAGAGGCAGAGCCTTGTAGAGGAAGAGCCTGAGCAAAATGTGCAACTTTTCCCCACCCAATCTCTCATATTTTGGGGTCACATTTTGCATCTTCATCCTGTTTTGCTCAGGGCCCGTATTATAAAGCCAAGTAAGTGGAAGCTAAGACTGTGGGGACTAGTAAAACCCACACAGACTCTACCAATGGGGGCTGCAACCTCTGGAGCACAAAGGACACTGTATACAGTAAAGGTGTCTGTTTTTTTTTTTTTTTTTTTCAGTAAAAAGATGTTTTTAAAAGCTTCAGGCTAAACAAAAACAACAAACTTCAAAATTCTTTCCCAACAAAATTTCTTTTTGAAGAATTGTTAGAACAACAGAAAAACGTGTCAGGTTTCTCTGCATAATATTTGCATTTATGAGTACAATAACATTATATGTGTAATGTATATTATAAATCTCAAATGCCTCCAGTCACTTTAGGGCGTAGCTGTTGAATTATTATCAATATTTATATTATTTTTTTTTGGTGAAAGATCACACTAAGATATTATTTTTATGTTCCAGTTAACAGTTTTTTCCTTGATTTATTTTGGTCTTGTCTCTGTACCAAATAACTTCTTGCTTTAGGTAAAAAAAGTGTTTAGTTGTTGCTCTATCCTCCAGTTCTTTCTTTTTTTTCTTATTTGAACATTGAAGGTAAAATTGATATGCCAATTTCAACTATCTGTGATACAGCTGGAAGCACTAAACTATCTCTTAAGAGGTAGAGATGCATATTTTGTAACATTTTTAGGGCTTTTGTGGTTAATTTTAAGGGTAACCTGTCTTTCTACAGGAAACAAGAGCTCACAGTATATACCAGATGACTTTATAAAAATGTAGTCCACCATGCCGCCAGTATTATTGTAATGGTAATGACTTACAATAAAACAGAGACAGAGCCCAGCATGTGTGGTGATTGAGTAGATTCAGCACACACATTGTTTGGCTTCTTAGAGATCATTACTAGTCCTATTGAGTGGCGGAAACAAAGATTTGCCAGTCCTCTAGAAACACCCTGCAGGGAATCGGGGAGCAATGGAGAACAGAGCCAAGTTAGGACATTAGGGCTGCTGGCCTTGGGGTACCAGACACCAGAGAGGAGAGGTAACAGGTCAGGCCTGACTGGGCTGAGTATCTTGGCTGTGCACAGTGTAGACAGACAGATGCTTGTGGGCTGGAGACTAACCTGGGCCACAGCACCTGAGCCCTGTAGCAGGCCCTGTAGAAGTGCTAAGTGCATGGTCCTAAAGATATTTTCTCAGCCCCCTTTTATATACCTACCTTTCAAAGGTGGAGGAGGAAATAGAGTCTATTGATGGTTCAACTGGCTGTCCATCAGAATTACCTATTGAGCTTAAAACACACCTTGCCTGCTCCATATTTAGATTAAGTACTTCTGGAATAAGAAAAAGGAATTTGCATTTTAACCAAGTCCATGTGCTTCTGAAGAGCAGTCAGGACTCTGTGTGACCCCACTTGGTTTTATTCCTACTAGCAGTTTTATATGCTAATAAATGAGAATATACAATGATACAGAATATTTACTCCAAAATAAATTCAAATAAAATAATAAAGGAGAAAAGGAAACATGAGAGCAGTCAAGACAAATAGAAAACATTGTAAGAGTTTTACACTGGTTAGTACAATGGCAGTACTAATTACCAAATCCAAATTTATAGGTAATTACATCCAATGTAAGAACAGAGTACCAGATCAGATTTTTTAATACTCCAACTATAGGCTACTTACAAGAGATATGCTATAAATATATGCAGAAAGAAATGTTGAAAGTAAAAGGAGGGATAAAGGTATACCATGCAAACTCTATCCCCAAAAAGCTGACATAGCTATTCTAATATCAGACAAAGGCAAGAAGAGCTAGTGGGTATTAAGAGGAATGTTTCATAACAGTGAAAGGGATCAGTCCACCAGGAAAATATTTAAAAATTAAATCTGTATACACTGAATAATATGCCTTTAAAATATATAAAGAAAAATTTTACAGAATTAAAAGGAGTAACAAAGTCATAATTGTGTTTGGGTGGTTTTAACACACCATTCAGTATCTGATAGAAACAGCCAACCAAAAAGCAATAAGAATACAGAAGATTTGAACAATGAAATGAACAAAATTGGCCCAGATGACATATGTAGAGAGAGCACTGTACCCAACAAATGCAGGCACACATTCTTTTCAGGTGCATGTGAACATTTACCCAAACTGACCACATGATAGGCCTTAAAACAAATCCTAAAACATTTCAAAGGTTTTAAATCATATAGAGTATGATCACTGATCACAGTGAAATTAGACAAGAAAAATCACCTATTTTTTTTTTAAATCACCTATTTTTAAGTTAAGTAATGCACTTCTAAATGTAGCAAAGAAGCAATCACAATGGAAATAAAACATTTTAAAATGAATTATAATAAAAAATAATGAAAAGTATGTAGGATTCAACTAGTGACAAATTTAGAAGAAATTTTATAATATTAAAAGCTTTTAGGGGCTTCCCTGGTGGCGCAGTGGTTGAGAATCCACCTGCCAGTGCAGAGGACACGGGTTCGAGCCCTGGTCTGGGAAGATCCCACATGCTGCGGAGCAACTGGGCCCGTGAGCCACAACTACTGAGCCTGCGCGTCTGGAGCCTGTGCTCCACAACAAGAGAGGCCGCGACAGTGAGAGGCCTGCACACCGCGATGAAGAGTGGGCCCCCACTCGCCACAACTAGAGAAAGCCCTCGCACAGAAACGAAGACCCAACACAGCCAAAAAATAAATAAATAAATGTCTCAAAAAAAGTAAAAAGGGAAATTAATAAAATAGAAAACAAACATATAATAGAGAATATCACAAAACCAAAAGTTGGTTCTTTAAAAGAAAACAATTCATAAAGCAAGACTGATCAAGAAAGACACAAATAACTAATAGTAGGAATGAAAAGGATCTGTCACTATAGATCAAACAAAGAACAAATAATAGGAGAATATCATGAGCAACTTTATGTCAATAGATTTGAAGATGTAAATAAAATGTGTAAGTTCCTAGAAAACTACAGCTTGTCAAAATGGGCACAAGAAGAAACAGATATCTAAATAGCCTTCTATACAAAACAATTAAATCTGATATTTTAAAATATGTCCCCCCTTAAAAAAATCTTTAGGCCCAGATGGCTTATACAGTAAATTCTTCCAATATTTAAGGAAGAATTAACAGAAGTATTACACAAACTTTTCCAGAGAAAAAAGGAAGGAACACTTCACATTTGTTTTACAAGGCTAGCATAATCTTGATACTAAAATCTGACAAGAGTATTAGGAGAAAAAGACCCAACAAGTATAGGCTAAGTCATTCATAAACATAGGTGCAAATTTTCTAAACAAAAGCAAACTGAATTCAGCAATATGTAAAGAAGACAGTGCATAGCAAACAAGTTGAGTTTATTTCAGGGACATGTTGTTGATTTACTATTTCAAAATCAATGTTATTAACCATTTTAAGAGAATAAAGGAAAACCCAAATCTTCAAAAGCCTATATAAAATTCAACCTCCATTCATTTAAAAAAAAAAAAAACTCACAGAAAAGTAGGAAGGAATTTCCTTTATCTGATAATAGCATCTTCAAAAAGTGTAAAGCCAGTATCATCTAATGCTATAATGGTGAGATATTGAGTTTTATCCCCTGGGATTATCACTGAGACAAAAATGTCCACTATCTTCAAGGAGGCCCATCATCCTGAATATATTCAACATTGTATTTTTCATCCCAGCCAGTATAATATTTAATAAATAAATAAATATTACAAAGCTCAAAAGGAAATAATTGTTACTACAAATGTAAATGCAAAAAATCCCCACACATTGTATGTGTGTGTAAATTTATACAGAAATGCCAAGGATTAAGACTGGCTAATACAATTATCTGTAAAGGAACATATTAATGAATCAGATTAGATAATAAAGAACTTCTGTTTCTCAAAAGACACCATTAAGAGAGTGAAAAGGCAAGTCATGGAGTTGGAGAAAATAATTGGCAACACTTATAACTGACAAAGGGCTTGTTATCCAGTATATATAAAGAGGTCCTACTCATCCCCCCAAAAATATACAACCCAATAAAAAAAAATGAACAGGCACTTAACCAACACTTTACAAAACACCATATCTAAATGTTCAATAAACATATGAAAAGGTGCTCAATTTCATTAATCATTAGAAAGACTCATAGTACCAAATGGCAATCACATGGAACAATGGAAACTCACACACTGTTGGAGGAGTATAAACAGTTATAACTACTTTGAAAAATAGTTTGTCATCATTTCCTAAAATTGGACATATGCACATATCATAACCCAGTAATTTCACTCCTAGGTACATACTAGAAAGGCACACGTAAAAGCACAAAAAGAATGCACATGAATGTTCATATCAGCAATGTTAACAACTCTGAAGGGCACTTCCCAAATGTCCATCAAGAGTAAAATGGACAATTGTGGTCTATTTACAATACAGGATACTGTAGAGCAATGAAAATGAACCAACTGGTACTTGCAACAATATAGTTTCCTCTTACGATCTTAATGTTTTGTAAAAGACTCTAATGCAAAATGAACAGTTAATAGCGCGGACCCCAGAAACGGGCATGAGATGCTAAGGCTGCTGCTGCCGCCACCAAGAAGCCTGTGTGCGAGAACAGGTCACTATCCACAGCCCCCTTCCGGGGACCCTGTGCAGCCCGCCACTGCCAGAGTCCCGGGATCCAGGGACAACTTCCCCGGGAGAACGCACAGCGCGCCTCAGGCTGGTTCAACGTCACGCCGGCCTCTGCCACCACAGGCTCACCCCACACTCCGTGCCTCTCCCTCCCCCTGGCATGTGTGAGCCAGAGTCCCCGAAGCAGCTGCTCCTTTAACCCCGTCCTGTCTGAGTGAAGAACAGACACCATCTGGTGACCTACGTGCAGAGGCGCGGCCAAATCCAAGGCTGAGTCCCTGGGAGCTGTGAGAACAAAGAAGAGAAAGGGAAATCTCTCCCAGCAGCCTCAGAAGCAGCGGATTAAAGCTCCACAATCAACTTGATGTACCCTGCATCTGTGGAATACCTGAATAGACAATGAATCATCCCAAAGTGAGGAGGTGGACTTTGAGAGCAAGATTTATGATTTTATCCCCTTTTCCTCTTTTTGTGTGTATGTGTATGCTACTGTGTGAGATTTTGTCTGTATAGCTTTGCCTCCACCATTTGTCCTAGGGTTCTACCCGTCCATTTAAAAATTTTTTTCAATAATTATTTTTTATTTTAATACCTTTATTATATTTTATCTTACTTATTTTATTTTACTTTATCTTCTTTATTCCTTTCTTTTTTCCTTCCTTCCCTCCTTCCTTCCTTCCTCCCTCCATCCCTCCCTCCTTTCTTTCTTTCTTTCTTCTTCTACTAATTCTTTCTTTCTACTTTTTCTCCCTTTTATTCTGAGCCATGTGGATGAAAGGCTCTTGGTGCTGCAGCCAGGAGTCAGTGCTGTGCCTCTGAGGTTGGAGAGCCAATTTCAGGACACTGGTCCACAAGAGACCTCCCAGCTCCACATAATATCAAACGGTGAAAATCTCCCAGAGATCTCCATCTCAACACCAGTACCCAGCTTCACTCAATGACCAGCAAGCTACAGTGCTGGACACTCTATGCCAAACAACTAGCAAGACAGGAACACAACCCCCCCCATTAGCAGAGAGGCTGCCTAAAATCATAGTAAGTCCACAGACACCCCAAAACATACCACCAGACGTGGACCTGCCCACAAGAAAGACAAGATCCAGCCTCATTCACCAGAACACAGGCACTAGTCCCCTCCACCAGGAAGCCTACACAACCCGCTGAACCACCTTTAGCCACTGGGGACAGACACCAAAAACAACGGGAACTACGAACCTGCAACCTGCAAAAAGGAGACCCCAAAGACAGTAAGATAAGCAAAATGAGAAGACAGAAAAACACACAGCAGATAAAGGAGCAAGATAAAAACCCACCAGACCTAACAAATGAAGAGGAAATAAGCAGTCTACCTGAAAAAGAATTCAGAATAATGATAGTAAAGATGATCCAAAATCTTGGAAATAAAACGGACAAAATGCAAGAAACATTTAACAAGGATCTAGAAGAACTAAAGGTGAAACCAGCAATGATGAACAACACAATAAATGAACTTAAAAATACTCTATTTGGGATCAATAGCAGAATAACTGAGGCAGAAGAATGGATAAGTGACCTGGAAGATAAAATAGTGGAAATAACTACTGCAGAGCAGAATAAAGAAAAAAGAATGAAAAGAACTGAGGACAGTCTCAGACACCTCTGGGACAACATTAAACACAACAACATTCGAATTATAGGGGTTCCAGAAGAAGAAGAGAAAAAGAAAGGGACTGGGAAAATATTTGAAGAGATTATAGTTGAAAACTTCCCTAATCTGGGAAAGGAAATAGTTAATCAAGTCCAGGAAGCACAGAGAGTCCCATACAGGAAAAATCCAAGGAGAAATACACCAAGACACATATT